ATGGTTTCACTTGCAAATTCTATCAAACATTTAAATAATAAATAATATCAACTGTACATATAATTTAGAATTCTAAAAAATAATCTGGGATATTTTTTCAAATTATTTTATGAAGGAAGTATTATTTTCATACCAAAAACAGACAAAGACAGTACAAAAAAAACTCCACTACGGACCTATAGGCCAACATCCATCAGAAACATAGATGCAAAAATCTTCAACAAAATATTAGCACATATAATGCAACAGTATATAAAAAGAATAACACACCAGGGCCAAGTGATGTTTATCCTAGGAATATGAGGATGCTTCAATATTTAAAAATCGGTCAATGTAATCCACCATATTAATAGTCTTAAACAAAAAGTCATATCAATAGATGTAAGAAAAATTAATCATTTATGATAAATATACATCAGCAAACTAGGAATGGAAAGTAACTTTCTCAACCTGATCAAAGGTATCTACAAAAACTCAACATTAAGCCCTGGCTGGTGTGGCTCAGTGGACTGAGTGCCAGCCTGCAAACCAAAGTGTCACTGGTCCAATTCCCAGTCAGAACATATGCCTGGGTTGCAGGCCAGGTCCCCCAGTTGGGGGCATATGAGAGGTGGCCACATATTGATGTTTCTCTCCCTCTCTTTCTTCCTCCCTTCCTCTCTGTCTGAAAATAAAGAAATTAATTTCAAAAGAAAACTCTATATTAAGATCATATTAATGGTGAAAGAGTAACTGCTTTCTTCCTAAGATTAGGAATAACAAACACAAGACTGCACTCTTACTGCTCCTATTCAACATCATAATGGAAGTCCTACACAGTGCAATAAAACACAAAAATGAAATTAACAACATGCATATTGGAAAGAAATAAAACTGTGTCCATTTAAAATGACATAATTGTCTACACAGATAACTTCAAGAAATGAAAGTAATATGATTTTAAAAATAATTTATTTTAATTTACTGTTGGTTATCTATAATAGTTTGTTGATCCTAGGTCTTTTGACTCAATTTAAAAATCAGTCTAAAATATATCTAAAGTCTATTTTCTAAAATAAAGTTTGTTACTCCTTGGTATTCTAAAAAAACTAAGAATATAAGTTTTAGGTTTTAGTGAGGTCACATAATACAAGGTCAAACACAAATATCAATATTTTATAGCAGTAGTGTAAATCTGGAAACCTAAATTTTAAAAAATACCATTTACAATAGCTCCAAGAAACTAAGATATTTTAGTAAAAATCTAACAAAATATGTACAGGATCTGTATGGTAAAAAAGAATTCTAACTAAGTAAATGAGATGTAATACAATCATGAGCTGAAAGATTCAACATACAAAATATTATCAATTCTGTTCAACTCCTACCTATAGATGTGTGTTGGGAGGTTCCCAAGAGCACATTCCTAGGTGGAATCACAGGACTATGAATATAGTCATATTGATGGCTACTATTTATTATAACAAAAGATACAAAGCAGTTTCAGCAAAGGGGAAAAAAGTATAGGCAAAGTTGGTCAAAAACCAAAACCAAGCTTCTAAGAGTCCTGTCCCAGTAGAGTCATTTAGGGTGCACTTAATTCCTCCAGGAATGAGATGTGACAATACATGTAAAGTGTTGTCTACAGGGGACCTCATTAATGACTCAATGCCTAAGATTTTATTGGGTGTTGGTAACGTAAACACTCTCTGCTTAGCATGTACCAAAATTCCAGACTCCCAGAAGAAAAGCAGCTAATCAGAATAAACCACATTTTCTGCACAGTTAAAGTACAGTTATAATTAAGAAAGGGTTTTATAGCAGTATACAGAACTGTTTACCAGTCAAGTTCCCAGATGCCAGCCAAGGGCCAACTTTGCAAACAGGCCTTTCTAAGGACAGCAGTATTAGGTCCATTATGTTAACTCTTTTCTGAGCAAAATGTAACTCAGTTCCAATCAAACTCAGCAGGATTTTTTGTAGATATTGCTGAACTGATTCTAAAATTTATATAAAAAGGCAAATAAATTAGAAAAGCTAAAACAGTTTTGAAAAAAGAATAGAGTTGAAAGAATCATGTTAACTACTTTTAAGAATCACAATATTATAAAACTGTAAAAGTAAAGACAGTATGATATTGGCAAAAAGATAGAAACAGAAGTCAATGGAAAAGAATACAGCATAGAAATAAGTACAGAAATGGACCCACACAAATAAGGCCAACGGATTTTGGGCAAAGGCATAAAAGGAATTTAGTGAAGAAAATGTATTTTTCCATAAATGGTGTTAGAACAATTGGACCTCCATATGCAAAAAGTGAACTTTGACCTCAAAATTGTTATGCCTTATACAAAACTTAAAAGGCATTATAGATTTAATTTTAAAACTATAAAACTTTTAGATAAAATATAGGAGAAAATATTTATGACCTAGGTTTAGTCAAAGAGTTCCTAGACATGACATAAAAGGTACAATCCATAAAGAAAACATTAAAAAACTAGACTTTATCAAATTTAAAAACTTTTGCTTTATAAAAGACAGATAAGAGATAAAAAGGCTGCAGACAGGTAGGACATATGGTACATAACATCCAACAAAAAATTTGTATCCAGAATATGTAAAGAACTCTCATTATTTGACAAGAGTAAAATAAATTACCCAATTTGAAACTGGATAAAAGACTTAGAAACTTCAGCAAAGAGAATATATGGATGACAAATAAGGATGATGTTTATTATTAGCCCTTGAGGGGATGCAAATAAAATCTATGATGAGATTCCTCTATACACCTACTAGATGGATGAAATTTGAAAACAAATACTAACAATACCAAGTGCCAGCAAGGATGCAGAGCAATTAGAACTCTCCTAACATCTTACATGATAATGAAAGATGGTACAGTCACTCTGTGACAATTTCTCATTAAGTTAAATGTACTTTTACCATATCACCCAGAAATACCACTCCTGGGTATTAATGTTGGAAATAAAAACTTATACTCACATAAAAACCTGTACATGAATGTTTGTAGCAGTACTTTTCAGAGCCTCAAAAACTGGGAACAACCTGAATGCCCTTCAGTGGGTAGATGGTTCAATAATAGGTGGTACATCCATGCCATGGAATATTACTCAGCAATAAAAAGGAATGAACTATTGATTCACACAACTTGGATGGCTCTTAAGGCAGTTATGGTGAGTAATAAAAGTCAATCTCAAAAGGTTACATATTATATGATTCCATTTATATAACATTCATGAAATCAAAAAATTATAAAAGTGGAGAACAAATTACTAGTTTCCAGACAGGAAGGTAAGAAAAGGGACATAGTTGTGGTTATAAAAGGGTAATATGAGGGATCCTTGTAGTCATGGAATAGTTCTGTATCTTAACTGTGGTGGTGGTGAGGCTTACAAAATTTACATGTGTGATCAAATTATATAGACCATGCACACACACACATGCATGCAAAACTAATGAAATTTAAATAAGGCCTGTGGAACTCAATTGTGACTCTATATTACATTTATGAAAAATGTTATCATAGGGAGAAAGGTAAAGGGTACACAGGACCTCTCTATACTATTTTTGCAACTTATTATAAATCCATTATTTCAAAACAAATGTTAAAATTTCATGGAACTACATACTAAAAGTCAACTCTGATTCTCTATCAAAAGGTGTACATTAGCATCACTTGTGGAGCTCTATAAAAATATGGGTGCCTGAGTCATACACCACAATTCTGATTTGATAAGTCTGAGATGGGTCCTGTGCATCTGTGATTCCGTGATCTGTGCACCAAAGGTGCATCCCTAGTGAATAACCACCACTTTAAATATGGGGGGTAATATATACACACATTAACAGTGGCTGTGAGATCATAATTATTATTTACTTTCTGAATAAATGTGAATTTTTGTGTAATAAACATAATAGCTTTTATTAAAAAGATCCTATTCATCATTATAGTTGATAAACATATTTTATATCTTAACTATTTATTCCCTCTCCCTACTCCCAATTTCAATTACCCATGAATGGGATGAGTAGATCTTCTCTATTCTCTGTTCTCATCTACATTACTAATAAAAATGTTGATCAGAACAAAGTCAGCTATCAGTCCACTAGAAATCTTGTTCTGGTTTGGTAGTGATCAACAATCTTTGGGATCAATCTTATTTAAGATCTCTCCAAATTCTACTCTTATCTAATTTACTTAGATAAGAGTACTTTATCATTCTCATAAGATGAGAGATATTTTTATGCTTTGCTGATGTCCAAATCTACCACATTTCCCTTGTCTGTCACTCCAAAGTGAGCCTGAACCACTTCTCTGGCATTTAAAGGATATTAAACTATATTACTTTTTCTCCCCAATTATATAGTAACATTCTTCTGAGCATAAACTATGCCTTATATTCCTGTGCAAACTCCATAGCTATTCATTCAATTCTATTCATTCAAAAACTACTTATTGACACCTTGGTATGTGCTAGGTACTATTCTAGGCTATCCTTCCTTAGTATAAAGTGATAATTAAGTATTCATAGTCATATTCCCTCAATAACTAACCCTGGACAAGCAGTTAATTGCCATGTTTTGTGCTACACTGTCCTTCCTATTACCCATCCCACCTGAATTTGAAAAACTTTGTTACTGACCACTACCCAAATTACTAAATATAATTTTACAAGATTTTAAGAAGGATTAAACTAACATGCCATCACTGTTTTTTCTAGAAATAATCTCTGTTTTCACTGGTTTCTTACAGTATCTTATTTATAACATTCTTATATTACTTAAGTGTATTCCACTTTGTATTGCACTTATTTCCCTGCATGTCTTACCTTGCCCCCTATATCAAAAGTTTCTCAAGAGCAGGAACCATAGCTTATTCAGCTCTGTAGAATCAGTAAATTTGTACCATGTTTGGAATGGTACAAATTCCCACTGGCAATGCTGAATGAATAATTGATAAACAGGATAGCAACTCCCTAAAAAGGAGTTGCCAGGCTTACCTGCGCAGCCACCAACCAGTTCACAAGAATGGCCCTCATGTTATTGTTGATGTCACTCTGACAGCTCATGTATTTTTTAAGTATGAACTTTTCCTGATGACATAAGAAAGAAATGTTAATAAACAATTTTTGTAGCTCCAAAATTGTAACTTAGGAAAAAATATTTGTAACTAACATCTCAAGGAAAAAGTTGTAACTTAACATAATTAACTTCTTCATGGTTTAACTCATTTTCAGCTGGTATCTGATAGGGATAGATCAAAGTATTCTTTCCCAGACAAATTATATTTATCCTTGGAAAATGGACACGCATGATATTCCAGTGTCAAGGTGAGTACTAAGAAGGTTAAGGGGACTATGGGCAGGAACACACATATGACTATAGATGAATACCAAAAAGGTTTGCCCCCTTTTTGCAATTCAACCTTAAAGCACTACACCATGCTATCAGAACAATGTTTCTCAAACTTTAATGTGCATATGTACCACTTGCAGATCTTTAAAATTCACATTCAAATTTAGAAAATCTGTGGTGAGTCCAGATTTCTGCATTTCTAATAAAATCTCAAGTGAAATCTATACTGCTGAGCTAAGGCCCACACTTCTGGTATAGCAAAGTTTTTTCTTATATCCTCTAAGGTATACTAGAAAAAAATGTGGGCTCTGGAGACAGTTAATCAAACATTATGTCTCTAAAGGGAATATGAGATATTAATCTTCCTTCTTTTGCATGGCCTGCTAAAATTCCAGTTGGCAGATAATATTGGTCTTATTTGTTCCGTTGAAAGAGACAGGAAAAAAAAAACTTGAGTCAATTAATATTAGTAGTAAAGGAGATTGGCAGATTTCAAAGGAGGAAGAAAATTTTACCAGACTGGAGAGGTGAAACAAATGGTGTGATTTTACATATAATGGCAGATAACTTGCATACAGAAAGGAAAAGATCTCCAAGAGCAACTTGGAGATACTTACAGTATATTTAAAGGGTACTTGGAGATAACTTAAAAAGATACTACCTGACCATTTTTGTATCTGAGACTGCCTCCTCAGCAATTACAGGTGCAGGCTTATGTTCTTATAGGTTACAAGACTTTAGTTCATATCACAGCTCTACCACACACTAGTTCTATGAATATGAGCAGTTTCCCCCAACTATAAAAAGGATAATAATAATACCTATCATCATGAAATTATTGGGAGAATTAAACAAAATAATGCCTATTAATCCTGTAGCACAAAGTCTAACTCATAGTAAGCTACCAACAGATGCCAGCTGTTGCTCCCCTTTCAACTTGCATTTGAACGATGGAGTGACAAGGAAATGAGAACTAGAAATCATTGCCCCCCCCAACAGCTACCTACACACCTCTCTCTCCTTCAAGTATCTGAAGATAGCCTTGACATATATTGAGTCGAAAGTTAGATTACTGTGGTTCTTGCCAATATCTTCCAGTAGGGTAATCTGCTTGGAAATCACCAAAAAGACATATTAGGAGGAGAAACATTCCTAAGAAGTCTTAGCACATATACATAAAGAATGACTCCTTTCTTCCCACTGTCATTTTCTGCTAAGGTTCCTCAAGCCTCATACATCCTAAGCTATAACAGAGCACCCCCAGACCCTGCAATCCCTGTACTCCTGAACAACCAAGAAATACTTAGTCTTCCTTGTACATGCCTTCTGTACCCTAGGAACCAGGCACCATTTTTACAGGTAAGCTCAAGACTCTTCAACAAAGACACTCTTATTTTACTATTTCAGTTTATGTCACCTGTCTTCTTAGGTTCCTTGTTATGTCCCAATGCTTTGATCTCACCCAATTCATCTTCTTAGTAGCCCTTTCCTCCCTTCTACACATTTATTCAGGTTGTTTTGCCTACAAGAGTGACATTTCTCCTCCTACTTGCCAAATCTGATCCTGCCATCCTTTCAATTTACAACTTAAAGACCACCTTTCTTGGGAGATGCCTCTGTGAACTTTATCCTTCTTTGAAGCCAACTTGAATACAGATTGCAATTACTAAAAAAGGCAATTTCCTGAAAGATGTAAACACTACCGTAAAGCCTATATAAACTGGGGTGGGCAAAAGCAGGTTTACTATGCCATTGTGACATTCTTTAGAGTTAATAAAATTATTGTAATAATTATAACCTGCATGTCTTTATCCATATGAACAACTGTTAATCTACTTTTGTCCACACCTGTATACATAGTATTCCAGGCCCTTGTGGGTATTCCTGGGATAAATACTTTCTAATTGCTTAGATAAATCACTATGCCAATTGGGAAGTCAAGAGATTCTAAAAGGCCAATTTGATTTACTATAGCATATAACACACAGCTCAATTGCTGCTTAACAAAAAATATCTCTTTGCTAGCAGTACCTCCAAAACAACAAAGAACATTTCATCTAATTTAAAAAGAGAGTGAAATACCTCCTTCTGTAATCTCTTGCCACAAGATGAGAAAGGTTTATTGGAACCGGATTCACAATCACTGGACTTCTTTGTGGTATTAAACTTTCTCACAATGGACATGATGCCAGAGCTGGACATGCCTATTCTAGATTCAGAGGTGGTTCTGAATACATGTGGGCTACTCTCAAATTGGATAGAGACATCTTTAAGAAAGCTATCTTTCCTGTGGGTAGGATTATTTTGCAAGGCCAGTGGCTCCTCAAATGACAACTCCTGCCCAGTAGTGGGTTTCTCATTCAAGGAGAACATCTTGAAATGGAATGCTTCATTAGGGGTAGACTTCCCATGAAAGGCTAATTCTTTGAAGAGGGACTCCTTCTTAGTGCTGGGCTTCTCCTGCAACTTCAGTGGTTGCTTAATAAGGAACTCTTCATTAGAGGTGTTCTTTTGCAAGGACAACTGCTTCTTCAAGGGAAACACATCCCCTTGAGGAGTAGGCTTCTTCTTTAAAGATAATTGGCTCTGTATGCTTGTTGTTGCCTCATTAGAGAGATTCTTCTTCAGAACCAATGGTTTCTTGAAAAGGGAATCCTTTTCAGTGGTGCTTTTCTCCTGCAAAGTCAACAGCTTCTTCATGGAGTCCTCTTTGCTATCCGTCTTATTCTGCCTGTTCAAACACTTGCAGAAAAGGGACTTATCTTTGTTAGTAGGTTTAACATGCAATGAAAATGGCTCCTGAAAGAGGAATTCCTCCTCAGTGATAGGCTTCTTCTCTGATGGTTCCTTAATATATGATTTTTCTTTAGTGGTAGTCTTTTCTGGCAAAGCCAACGGCTTCTGCAGAGTGGTGTGATCCTCTTTCAATAGACATGGATCCTGCTGGAGTAACTCCTCATTAGTTTTAGGCTTTTTCTTAAAGGGCAATGCCTTCTGAAGGAGTGACCCCTCTTCAGAGGTAGTCTTGTCTAACACCAGTGGCTTCTCTAAGAGAAACATCTTTCCCTGAGTGAGTCGCTTCTTCTTTGTCGATGATGGTGTCTTGGTAAGGGCTGCTTCCTCAGTTGAAGACTTCTTCCTAAGTGATGCTGGCCCCATAAAGAAGGGATCTTCATCTTTGTCAGTAATATTCTGCAAGTCCAGTATTACTTGGCAAGTGGACATCATTATTTGAGTGGTGCACTCTTTCTTCTTTAAAGATATTAGCTCCTTGCTAGAGATTGCCTCATTCATGGTATGTTTCTTCTTCAAGGAAACTGGCTCCATAAGAAATTCATCTTTACTGTGAATATTCTCTCGCAATGCCCATGGCTTCTTCAAAAGGGCCACCTCCCTCTGAGTGGTGTGCTTCTCTGGCAACACAGATGATTCCTTGAAGAGGAACTCTTCCTCAGTAGTAGGCTTCTGTTTAAAGGACAATGGCTCCTTAATGACTGACTTCCCTTCAGAAATGGTCTGCAATACTAGTGGTTTCTTCAAGCAGGATATCTTATCTTGAGTGGTACATTTCCTCTTTAAAAGTACTAGATCCTTGGTGGCAGTTGCCTCCTCAATGGTACGCTTCCTCTTAAAGACCAGAGTCTCCTTTAAAAGTGACTCCTCTTCAGTTGGACTCTTTTGCAAGACTAAGGGCTTCTTCAAGATGGACACCTCCCCCTGAGTGGTATGCTTCTCTGGTAACACAGATGATTCCTTGAAGAGGAACTCTTCCTCAGTAGTAGGCTTCTGTTTAAAGGACAATGGCTCCTTAACGACTGACTTCCCTTCAGAAATGGTCTGCAATACTAGTGGTTTCTTCAAGCAGGATATCTTATCTTGAGTGGTACATTTCTTCTTTAAAAGTACTAGATCCTTGGTGGCAGTTGCCTCCTCAATGGTACGCTTCCTCTTAAAGACCAGAGTCTCCTTTAAAAGTGACTCCTCTTCAGTTGGACTCTTTTGCAAGACTAAGGGCTTCTTCAAGATGGACACTTCCCCCTGAGTGGTATGCTTCTCTGGCAACACAGATGCTTCTTTGAAGAGGAACTCCTCCTCAGTAGTAGGCTTCTTTTTAAAGGAGGATGGCTCCTTAATGACTGACTTTGCTTCATAAATGGTCTTCAAGCAGGATATCTTATCTTGAGTGGTACATTTCTTCTTTAAAAGTACTAGATCCTTGGTGGCAGTTGCCTCCTCAATGGTACGCTTCCTCTTAAAGACCAGAGTCTCCTTTAAAAGTGACTCCTCTTCAGTTGGACTCTTTTGCAAGACCAAGGGCTTCTTCAAGATGGACACCTCCCCCTGAGTGGTATGCTTCTCTGGCAACACAGATGCTTCTTTGAAGAGGAACTCCTCCTCAGTAGTAGGCTTCTTTTTAAAGGAGGATGGCTCCTTAATGACTGACTTTGCTTCATAAATGGTCTTCAAGCAGGATATCTTATCTCGAGTGGTACATTTCTTCTTTAAAATTACTAGCTCCTTGGTGGCAGTTGCCTCCTCAATGGTACGCTTCTTCTTAAAGACCAGAGTCTCCTTTAAAAGTGACTCCTCCTTAGTTGTCATCTTTTGCAAGGTTGAGGGCTTCTTCAAAAGAGACACCTCCCCTTGACTGGTGTGCTTCTCTTGCAACAGAGATGACTCTTGGAAACAGAACTGCTCAGTGGTACACATATTCTCAAAGGACAATGATTTCTCAATGAGTGACTCTTTTCCCGAGGTGGCCTTCTGCAATATTAGTGGCTTCTTCTCATGAGACATCTTTTCCTGAGTGGCACACTTGTTTAAAGTTAATAGCCTCTTGGTGGGGGTTGCCTCCTTCGTTTCAGGCTTCTTCCTTAAGTTCATTGGCTCCATAAAGAAGGAATCCTCTTCAACATTAATATTCGGCAATGTCATCTCCTTCTCACAGCAGGGCTGCTTCCCCTGACATGTGCACATCTCCTTAAAGGATAAATTCCTCTGGGTGACAACTGCCTCCTCAGTTTTTTGTTTCTTCCCAAAAGTCTCTGGCTCTAAAATATACTGTAAATCACTCTCAGTCTCCTCAAGCAAGGTTAGTGGCTTCTCGAATTGAGGGATGTTATTCTGATTTATGTGCTTCTTTAAAGATAATGACCTCCTATTGAGGACTGTGTCCCCAGTAGTGGGTTTCTCTTTTAAAACTAATATCTTTTTGATATGAGAAGGCTCCTCAGTAGTGGGTGTTTCAGAAATAATAAATGTCCTTGGAGTGTGTGGTTTCTTTATAATGTATAATACCATGGGGGTATCAGAAACTGCTGCTGATGAAGGTTCCAGCTCATATCTGTAAAGAAAACAATGTCTGGGTAAGAAGAATGTATTATCTAGAATCTTCACCTGCCATCTCATTTTGTTGCTATATTTACTAAATGTATAGAAGAGGAACGGGCTTCAACTCCAAGAGACATATTAAGAGTATAAAAGCCATTAAGTCCCTGACTGGTGTAGCTCCATGGATTGAGGACAGGCCTGCAAATCTAAGGGTTACAAATCTCAGGGCACATGACTGGGTCATGGACTAGGTCAGGTACCCAGTGGGGAGTGCATGAGAGGGAGGCACACATTGGTGTTTCTCTACCTCTCTTTCTCCTTCCCTTCCCTTCCCTCTATAAATAGATAAGACCTTAAAAATAAAAGTCATTGAGTACCACAGTCAATCAACTAAGTGGCATAGTGTGTAGTTTCTATGGCCTAGGTCCCCAACATTTTTCTGAAAAAATTTCTCCTGAAATCCATTTTAAACTTTTCTCATATATGATTTCTTACCTTTATTTGTATATAAGAACTTTCATTATAACACTTACGCATTGTATAACTTCGCTTATACATCAGTCTCCCTCACTAGCTGCATTTATTTGTTTTTATCTATCAACACCAGACATCTGATAAAATGAAAGTTGAAATTAATATTTTTTGAAGGCTTATGAGAGAGAATTATAAGAGAGAGGTATATGGTGAAGGATTATAAGTCAACAGTGGGCTGATACTTAACACTGGTGGTGTCTAATCACAGTCCCTTCATCCTAGGCTATTCACAAGATATTTTCTCAGTGGAAGATATGATAAGACCAAAATAGGCATTTTTCACACATGTCAGATGCAAAGCTTTGTTTTGAACAGGATTTCATGTCCAATTGCAGTAACTAATCTAGTATGACCAAATCATTAGATGACTAGAAATCAGAATAAGAGAAAGGATTAAAGGCAAATACAATCATCAGTCTGAACAAAAGTACCTCCAAAACACTAGATAGCTTATGATTCCATCTATTTAAAACATCCAGAACAAACATACCCATAGATGTATATTCATAATGGATAGTAGATTAGTGGTTGCCCAGGGCTGAGAAGGGGCAGGGTCTGGAAAAGGAAGTGTAGAAATGGAGACTAGAAAAGGGAAGGGACTACTAATGAGTATGAGCTTCTTTTGTGGGGGAGTGGAGTGTTGGAAAAGTCCTAAAATTAGATAGTTGTGATGGTTGTAAAACTCTAAAAAATATAATACAAACAATGAATTATTGTTTAAAAGTAAGTGCTATCTGGCTTATTAGAAATAGAAAGCTGATTCTAAAAGTCATATGGAATTGCACAAAATCAGAATGGCCAAAACAATCTTGAAAAAGAGAAACAAAGTTAGAGGAGTCACACTCTTCAATTTCAAAATGCCCTACAGAGCAACAATAATCAAGATAGTGTGGTGCCGATATAATGAAACACGTGCCCTGGCCAGTGTTGCTAAGTTGGTTGGAGCACCATTCCATAAACCATAAGGCCATGGGTTCAATTCCAGCACATATTTAGGATGCAGATTTGGTCCCTGGTTGGGGCAAGTATGAGAGGTGACTGAAGATGTTTCTCTTTGACAACAGTTTCTCTCCCTCTCTCTCTCTTCCTTCCCCTCTCCCTAAAATCAATAAGCATGTCCTTGGGTGAGGGTAATTTAAAAAAAATACAAAACACTTACAGTTAATAGACAATTCATTTTTGACAAGGGTGCCAAGACAATTAAGTGGGGAAAGATTAGCCTTTTTAAGAAAAAGGTACTGGGACAGCTGGCTATATGCATGCAAAATAATGAATTTAGACCCCTAATATACACCACCAACAAAAATTACCTCAACAACCTAAATTAAGACCTAAAACTTTAAAACTCTGAAAAGAAAACCTTAAAAGTAAGTAAAACACACACACACACACACACACACACACACAACAGTATGTGATTATCAATGGAAAAGGTGGGTGGGAGGAAGTGGAAGAGGGTAAAAGGTAAATAAATGGTGATAGAAGTAGACTTAACTTGAGGTGGTGAACACACAATATACAGATGATATATTATAGAACTGTATACCTGAAACCTATAAAATTTTAATAACCAATGTAATCCCAATAAATTCAATAAATTTTTTAAAGTAAATCTCTGTAACCTTACATTTGAAATGGTTACTTTGCCAAATCTAAGGCACTGGTTAACACTTTAGCAACCACAGCTGGGCCCACCTCAGCAATGAGAGTTAATGTAGTAATCAACAACATGGCTCATTAAACATTTTCTCAATGGGAATGAAAGGGGATCAAAAGGATGTCATACAATCTACTTGACCATGTAAAACAATGCCCTATATGTTCCCCTCTTACTCACTGTTTTATATTCATCTCATTGCTCTTGGCCAACTCCAGAGGAGGTTTGGTCCTGTTTATCTTCTTGGAAATATCTTTAACAAACTCCTTCCTGGCTTCCTTCTTGGACTGTGCAGGTTGACTTTGAGAAGCCTACAAAAACAGGGGAGGGGAAAGCAAAAAAATTGAGAGCACCACAAATTACCCCATAGGTGGCTCTTATAGGAAAGTTCTGACCCACATCCTCACCCTAGATACCTTGTTTGAGTGTTCCCAGGAATAACCAAAACATCTCACAGTCAGTATAGCACTGAAGTGGACTAGTCACAGTGAAAGTTAGCAGTATAACAGAATTTGTAATTATTAGCTAAATAGCAGCACTAAGCTCTAAGTGATTCTAAGACACAAAGGAAGTAGTTCTCATCTCCATGTCATACATACTGGCTGACAAATTACCCAACAGATGTTTTGTTAATATCACATTCCACTTTGATCCCATTTAAAATGAAATAAATTGGTCCAGTCATGGTGTAGGCAGAGGTAGACACACCTTGCCTCACTGCACAACCATAAGAAGAAACACAACTAACTTAGAAATGAAAAATACCCAGAACTGTACAGAAGTCCAACAACCAAGGATTTAAAGAAGCTATATTCATGCAGAAAGGTAGGAGGGGCTGAGAGGAGAGTCAGGGTGGAGAGGACTCGGTGTGGCAGTGATGAGCCAGGGGTGGACAGGCAGAGAGGTAGCAGCAGCTGGCAGAATGGGCAGCCCCACATTCATATCTGGTGGATAAAATTCCACCACAAGGTGTCTTACAAAGAGATACCTTATAAGTGAGCAAACCCAGCACCAGGCCAGATGGTGCAGCACAGCATAAAGAAAGCCTCATAACTTCTGGGTATAAACCCAGTGGAGCTTGGGGTGGTGGGAAAAACTGCTTTTTCAGGAGAGCCCAACACATGCAAACCCACCCACCCTGGGAACCACAACCAGGACAGCAGCTAGAGAGGCACCAGTCACATACGGGAAGTGGGTGAACTGACTGGAAATGGGGTGAAGGCCAGGCAATCCCCCAGAAGTCAGCCAGCAGTGACACTGTCTTCTTTTCAACCACTCCCCCACACAAGGAGCCACAGTTGCCTTGCCCTGGTGAATACCCAAGGCTCCACCTCACACAACTTAACAAGTGTGCTAAAATGGAATCAAAGCAGCTCTACCTAGTACACAGAGGGAGGCTGCCAAAATCAGGAGACAAAGAAATATAGCCCAAATAAAGGAACAGAACAGAACCCCAGAAAAAGAACTAAGTGATGTGGAGATAGACAAAGTATCTGATACAGAGTTAAAAACACTGGCAGTCAGAATGCTCAAAGCACTCACTGAATAAAGTAGAAGCATAAGGTAAGAAAGGAAGGCCATACTAAAGGAAATAAAGAAAAATCCACAGTAAACCAACAATGAAGGGAACGAAATTGAGATTCAAATCAACATTTTGGAACATAAGGAAGAAACAAACATTCAACCAGAACAAAATGAAGAAATGAAACTTTTTAAAAAAAGGCAAGTTTAAGAAGACTCTGGGACATCTGCAAGAAGGCCAACATCTGAATCATAGAAATGACAGAAGGAGAAGAAAAAGAGAAGAAATTAAAAACCTATTTGAGGACTTCTGCCCAAGATAAAGGTGTAGGTGGAAATACTGTACCTCCTCGCACAACCAAATTTAAAGACAACGAAGATTTAGGAAAAAACCACAACCCAAACAGACAGAAAATTCAACTGTACCAAAGTCCGACAACACCAAACCATTCATCCAGACTGGTAAGAGGGGAGGACTCTGCAGAGAGGAGGTCCGGGAGAAAAAGGTGGTTGTTAGTGGACCGGGCGGCCACCAGACAAAACCCAGTAAGGCTCCCAAGGCAACTGGCTGACCATGGACACACATTCACACGCAGATAAACCAGACAGCTTTAAAAATGGTCAGCAAGACAGACCATGCAACTCAGGGCCCCAGCAATGGGAAATAAAGCATAAAAGTACCTACTACAAAAACTTTGGGGGGTTGAGATGCAGGGAGAGGCTCCAAGCCTCACAGGAGAGTTCCTTGGAGAGAACCATAGGATCCTAGAAAGGACACAAGCCCACCCTCCCAGGAACCACCACCAAAAGGGCCCAATTTGCTTGTGGGAAGGGGCAGAGGGGACTGAAATCCGAGAGAGGGCAGAACAAATGCCATTGCTCCCTCTCTGACCCCACCTCCAGTGACAACCCAGAAACTTAGTTGACCCACCCCATGAACACCTAAGATTTCACCTCTCATACACAACAGGAAGTAAGAGACCAAAACATTATGGCTCAAGCAGAAGAACACCTCAAAGGCCCAGAGCCAATACTTCTAAGCAATCAAGAGATAACCAACCTATCAGATGCAAAGTTCAAAACACTGGTGATCAGGATGCTCACAGAACTAGTTGATATTAGTCACAAGTTACATGAAAAAATGAAGGCTACACTAAGTAAAAGGAAGCAAAATGTACAGGAAACCAATAGTGATGGGAAGAAAACTAGGACTCAAATCAATCCAGTGGAGCAAAAGGAAGGAAGAAATGACCAAACAGAAAAGAATGAAGAAACAAGAATTCAAAAAAATGAGGAGAGGCTTTTAGAAACCTCCAGGACATCTTTAAACCTTCCAACATCCGAATTATAGGGGCACCAGAAGGGGAAGAGGAAGAGCAACAAGTAGAAAACTTACTTGCACAAATAATAAAGGAGAATTTCCCCAATCTGGCACAGGAAATAGACTTCCTAGATGTCCAGGGAGCTCAGAGAGTCACAAAGAAGTTGGACCCAAGGAGAAATAAACCAAGGCACATCATAATTTCATTACCCAAAATTAAAATGAAGGAGAGAATCCTAAAAGAAGCAAAAGATAAGGGGACAGTCGCCTACAAAGGAGTTCCCATCAGACTGTCAGCTGATTTCTCAAGAGATCTTACAGGCAAGAAGGGGCTGGAAACAAGTATTCCAAGCCATGAAATTCAAAGACCTACATCCAAGATTGTTCTATCCAGAAAAGCTTTCATTTAAAATGAAAGGGCAAATAAAGTGCTTCTCAGATAAGGTCAAATTCAAGGAGTTCATCATCACCAAGCCCTTATTATATGAAATGTTAAAGGGACTTACCTAAGAAAAAGAAGATAAAAAAGATGAACAGTGAAAGGACAGCAAACTCACAGTTATTAACAACCACACCTAAAACAAAAGCAAGCTAAGAGGACAGCTAGATCAGGAGCTGAACCATAGAAATGAATATCACATGGAGGGTTAGCAACAGGAGAGTGGGAGGAGGAGAAGGGGGGAAAGGTACAGAGAATAAGTAGCATAGATGGTGGGGAGAAAATAGACAAGGGGAGGGCAAGAATAGTGTGGGAAATGTAGAAGCTAAAGAACTTGTGACACATGGACATGAACTAAAGAGGGGGGAATGGGGGAGGGGTGTGCAAGGTGGGGGGGAATGAAGAGGGAGACATGGGACACCTGTAATGGCATAATCAGTAAAATATATTTTAAAAAAGAAGATAAAAATATGAACAGTAGAATGACAGCAAACTCACAATCATTAACAACCACACCTAAAACTAAAACAAAAGCAAACAACTAGAACAGGAACAGAACTAAAGAAATGAAGATCACATGGAGGGTTAGCAACAGGGGAGTGAAAGGAGGAGAGAGGGTGAAAAGTTACAGAGAATAAGTAGCATAGATGGTCAGTAGAAAATAGACAGGGGGAGGGCAAGAATAGTATCAAAATTGTAGAATCTAAAGAACTTGTGAACCATGGACATGAACTAAAGGGGGGAAGGGGGAGGGGTGTGCAGGGTAGAGGGAAATGAAGAGAGAAAATAGGACAACTGTAATGGCATAATAAATACAATATATTTAAATTTTTTATATGCTCAAGAAAAAGAGCTTCCCTAATTTGATGAGAAAAAGTCACACAAATCCAGGAAACACAGAGTCCCAATCAAGAGGAACCTAAAGGGGTCCACTTCAAGACAGATCATCATTACAATGGCAAAATTCCAAGGCAAAGAGAGAATCTTAAAGGCAGCAAGGGAGAAACAGAAAGTAACATACAAGGGAGCCCCAATAAGGTTAGCTGCTGACTTCTCAATGGAAACCCTCAAAGGAAGAAGAGAATGGCAAGAAATATTCCAAGTAATGAGAACCAGAGGCCTGCAACCAAGGCTACTTTACCCAGCAAGGCTCTCAATCAAGATAGAAGGCCAAATAAAGAGCTTCCCAGACAAACGAAGTCTAAAAGAATACACCTCCACCAAACCAGCTCTGCAAAAGATGCTAAAGCACCTGCTCTAAGGAAAGGAAGGAAAAGAGATAGACAGAGAGGAACAAAGGTACAAAAATGGCAGTAAGTACCTACCAATAATAACCTTAAACATAAATGTATTAAATGCTCCAATCAAAAGACATAGAATAGCTGAATGGATAAGAAAGCATGACCCACACATATGCTGCCTACAGGAGACCCACCTCAGGACACAAGACCTACACAGACAAAAAATGAAGGGCTGGAGACAAATTTTCCAAGCAAATGGACAGGGAAAAAAAAGCCGGGGTAGCAATACTCATATCACACAAACTAGACTTCAAAAAAAGGGCCATAAAGAGAGACCCAGAAGGTCACTTCATAATACTCAAGGAAAGAATCCACCAAGAAGACATAAACATTGTAACTATATATGCACCCATATACACAAAGAAAATCTTAGAGGACTTCAGGAAAGATATTGACAGCAACATAATTATAGTATAGGATTTTAACACCCCAGTGTCAAAAATGGACAAATCTTCCAAACAAAAGATCAACAAAGATACTGTGGCACTGAACAATACCCTAGATAAAATGACTTTTTTTTCAGTTTATTTTTAAAAATTTATTTAATTACTGTTCAAGTACAGTTTTGTCTCATACTCCCACCACAGCCCACCCCCCCAGTGCTCCCCACCTCCCTCGCATTTTCCGCCCCGCCTTAGTTTTTGTCCATGTGTCCTTTATACTTGTTCCTGTGAATCCTTCCTCTTTCCCCCTGAAATTCTCTCTCCTCTCCCTTCTGGTCCCTGTCAG